TGGATATATTTGAAATTATTTTCTTAAGGTCACTTTGGAGAACTCAATTAATACCTTAAATTTATAACATTGTATGTTGAGTTGATATTAACTCAAATTCAAAATCTAATAATAAGATAATAATACACAATGTATTGTCCATTGTTAATCTCCCATCATCTTATTTTGAAATTCTGTATTATGTTAATTTTTTAGTTTTTTTCAGTTGTTTTCTCTTTAAAATAAAAATAATTCTGGACCCATATACTCTTGTCTCTACCTTTATGCTGCTTTCTCAAATCGTACCTTTATATATTATGTAAATTTTTAATATAGACGTTTGCACTTGTCTTTTAAAGCATATGGGAGGGTAAGAGTCATATGTCAAACACATTAATCCTGCTTTCAGTATTTTATTATGTAGTTACTTCTGCCAGCATTGTTTGTTTCTTCCTCTGACTTCTGGATGCCTCCTACAGTCCTCTTGTTTCCACTGCAAAGACTCTCCCCAGTATTTCCTGTAGGGCAGCTCCACTAAAAATGAATTCTCTTCAGGCCTTCCTTTATGATTTTGGTATGAAGTTGGCTGTTACACTCATTGCAAATATCTAGTGTGTGACAAGTCTTCTCTTTGTTGCTTTGAAGAGTCTCTTTGTGTACTCACAGTTTTAATATAATGTAGTTTTTGTCTTTTTAAAACTTATTTACATTAATTTTATGAAATTTTTTTGAATTTAGCATTGCTTAATACATTCACTTGTTATTCTCTAAATGGACAAAAAACCATTATAAATAAATGTTTAAGTGTACAACATATTTGGTATATGTATACTTTATAGAATGACAAAATCAAACTAATTAAAGTATTTATTACTTACCTTTACCTTGTCGTAAGAAATTATTTGTGCTGAGATGATACTCTGGCAATCTTTAAGATATAACACATTGTTACTGATCGTATTACACAGTAGCAGTATTAATTTATTTCTCTCAGTCAGAGTTTTGTACCCTTTGAAAATATCTCTCTAATGTCTGTTTGTTCCCTAACCCCATCCCCCAACTCCCTACTCGCACTATTCTACTCTACTTCTAGAGCTTGAGATGCCTTATATCAGTGAGATCATGTGGTGACTACCTGCTGTACCAGGCTACATAATAAAACTTCTGGGTTCATCCATGTCATTAAGAATAACAGAATTTCCTTATTTTTAGGTAATAAATGGTATTGCACTGTGGATATAGGTCACATTGTCTTCATCCATTCATCACAGAACGACACTTAGGGTTTTCATATTGCTTGTGAATTGTAAATTCACATTGTGAGTAATGCTGGAGTGGACATAGGAGTGTAGATATTTCTAAAATATATTGATGTCATTTCTTTTGGATATATACCAAGTGGCTATAATGCATTTCAATGTACATCTCTTGGAGTATCACATGGATAATATTAGTTGAGCTTCTTGGAGGTGTTGAGTCAGGCATTTAATCAAATTTGGGAAGTTTTTGTCCTGAGTTCTTCAAACATTGTCCCTATCCAGTTTTTCTCTTCTTGAAGGACTTCTCTGATGGATATCCTCGTGACGCTGTTGATATTCCACAATCAATTTAGGCATTATTCATTTTGAATCATTTCAATTGTTCTATCTTCACATTCATTTGTTTTTCCTTCTATCACATGGAAACCCTATACCACTCTCTTGAGCTGCTCTAGTAATTATTTTTATTTTAGATATTATACATTTCAGACAGAATTTCCTTTTCTCTCCTTTTGACAGTTGTTTGCTTATTGGAATTTTATTTGGTGAGATATTGCTATGCTGGAATTTTATGAACATTTGATCATGGTTTGCTGTAGCTCTTATAGCAGAATTAAGATCCATATTTTAAGGTTTTGTCCAAAAACTCCCATACCTGGGATTCCTCAGGGACTGCTTCTGTTACACTGTGCCTTAGTGTGTTTTACCTGCCTTGTCAATTTGAGTTAACCTGGATATTTTGAACATTGTGCTGTAGGAACTCTGGAAGTCAGGTTATATCCTTCAACCCAAGGTTTCTTCTTGTGTTTTGGTGGCTTGAACAAGCAGTTTATCTAAACTCTTTTATAGAGATTCTTCTTTCTTGTGTGGCTTTTGAAGTCTCTATTCAGAATCATAGTTATCAGTGAAGGACTTGACAGAGATTTCCTTTAAATGCCAGAGAAAAAGTGATCTTCTATTCTTTTTAGATTAATTCTGGACTGTGACCTCAAATGACTATTATCCATGGCATATAAACTCTGCCTGGTCTCACTTTGTTTGTGTGTGACCAATATTAGGGTCTCACCACAGTTCTCCCACATCTGGTGCTCTGACAAAGTGGATTTTGACAGTTCCCACAGTTTAATCACTGCTTTAGCACAGGGATGGATATTGTAATTCCCTACCTTAATTTTACGCAGTACCATGTTACAAAGCTGTTCTCCTGCCTTTAGTTTGTGTCTGTGGAATCTGGGTGTGCACTAGGTTTAAGAAGTCTCACAGCGTCAGTGTGTCTGTGTCGGGCATCTGAGTCCTCACTGACTCTGCTTCTCCCCCAGAGTTCCGGCTGGTCAATGGCAGCAGCCCCTGTGAGGGCCGTGTGGAGCTCCAGGTGCAGGGGACCTGGGCACC